TTAAAAAGTCCCCCCTTCTCCCAAACAATCCAACAAATTACCATCCCATTTCACTTCTAAAGTTTTCAAAGGGGTTTACACTAGGAAGTTTCATTCTCACCTTTTTGGTAATATTTGAGAACTTTTTCAATTTAGCTTCAGAACAGGTCAGAACACCAAAGCATCTCTTCTTCCAACTAAGAACAATGAACTAGAAAGCCTACTGCTCTAACTGAGCTACGTGACACTAAACACTCAGCCTGCTAACTTAAAGTAGTGCTATTGTGCAGTAATCTATAGCTTCCGCACATATATAATATAGAGAATATTGATTCACACATTAAAGTATAAGTGACCACCCATCCAAATTAAGTTAATACAAATACAGTTTAGATTTTGCTGTACATAAAATGCCTTTTACCAGATATGGATACTGTAGAATACCTCTGACATAAGAATACATAAAAATACATTTTTTTTTTAAGTTTTAGAGTAATTTGGGCAAAAATTAAATAGGATGAGCTGCATTTAATAGAAAATTAATAGAAGTGTGCTCAACAGAAATTAAGGAACAATATCAGAGAACATGTTAACATCTACACATACAGAAGAAGAGAATGATTAAAAGATCTATAAACAGCTCATCAAAAGCAAATATTACTCGTTTTTGCATTCATGGGAATGCCTCTAATAAATCCCAAAGTAAACACCTTCATAATATTAGGCAGACACTATTTGGATATTATTATCTTCCTCATTCCACAAACATCTCCATTCTGCTCCTGGCACCTCTTCCCTTTTCAAGATTAGCAGCACTTTAATAAAATCAAATTTATTATGTAATAAACACTTCCACCGCAATAACACACTTTGCATAAGTCAAGAGGCAAAGCTTACTTTTAATTTCCAACAACTGTGACTGCAGTAGCTGCATCTGACTTTCTCACTAAAACCAACAGAACTTAGAAGTTACTTAAACTTATTTCCGTCAGTAGCCTACAAATGGGGTATCAACATTTCAACTTTTTTAAGTCTGTTTATTAGTTAAATTACACATTCAAAGATAATCTGCTTACTTAACTTAAATTGGCTTATAATAATTTAGTAATTTACTTCAGAATCTTGCTTATTAACCTACAAGGAAAAAATACAGTACGTAGACAAATTAACAGATATGAGCAATATTTAGAACCAAGAGGCATTTTTTATTGGTTTTAGATTTCCATCAGATTACATTCAAAGCACAAGCCTAGGCAGGAAACACATTAATACTACATTGTGGGAAGTCAAGATAGCTAAAGAGGTTCTTAATAAGTAAAACATTTTAGCACAGTAAAATCAAGCCGTAGTTGATCTGGAATAAAGATATTTTAAGACAGCTAAACAGCAGATATTATAATACAAAATATTATTACATCTCATTTTGTCCAGCAAAAATAAAAATATTTGCATTGACGTGTGTTTTTCACAAACTATTTTTTGTGAGATAGTTCTGTATATTTTACTCTGCTGGTAGAATTTATCACCAATATCATTTAACCAACCTAAGAGCTCATGATGACCTTTTTTTGTAGGATCTCTGAATTCTCTTCAATCATAATGCCTCATTATGAATGGTCAGAATGCCCACTGATTTGATCTAAACTCCATCACCGCAAAAATTATTTGATAATTAATGTAAAGAATCTGTTATATTTACATAAATGCATTTTATTTTTAATCCCCTCTAGTTGCAAAGCTGAAACCGGCAAAACCTTCAGGTAGCAGGTTTTGAAGAGAGGTTTAAAATAAGGTTTCAAGTAAATCCTTTACTCTTTGAAACCGCAGAAAACAGTCTTCCCTTGAAGTACAGTAGCTAGATTGAGAGGATGTCAAAAGGTCACTCAAACAGCTTCCCTGGCAGTGTCTCAAGTGATGATAGAGGAACACGGAAAGGGTTAAACAGAATGAATTGGCTAAAACACCTTACACACGTAACCCACATTTTTGGTGGCTTCCTGCTCATCACTGATACAACAATTAATAGCCAGGAGGTCCAGCCGAGGCTTCAGGGCACCAAGCTGGAGAACCATGATATGAACTCTGGAAATGGCTAACTTGGGGAGAAAAGGAATGAAAGGAGATGAATCATGTGTTCAATCAATGCACTGCATATCATTTAAAATAAAACAACAGCCAGAGAGCTCTGCTTTTGCCAGCTGTTGGAAATGACTCAAAAGGAACAAAACTGACTTGACAGGGACACACAAAATCAATTTATTCCACTCAGGTGGAAATGGAAGCAGATAAGCTATTGTGGATTAGCATTCCCACACAGAGAGCTCTTACTCGGGATGCGGCTGGCTGGCTGGCAGAGCAGGGTGAGGCACGAAACAGAGGAGCTGCTCGGCACAGAGGCCCAGGCATCTTAACATTCACCTGAGGTCCGACCTGATGGGCATTAATGAGACAGAGGTGTCGGAGCTGCTTTTGTCCCTGTTCAGACATGAACGGCATCTATAAAAGGTTGTATATCAGTGTCGCCACAGTTCTTAAATTTATGTTAAAATCTCCATTCATCATCATCATCATCATCATCCCCATTTCCATTAAGTGTACAATTCATGTAGACAAACATCTCAGTATGCTTTGCTAAACAAATAAATACAGACGGTAAGCAAGAAAAAGATATGCTTCATGTAGCCTGTTTGAATCGGTACATCGCTTTCTCCTTAAGATCTATAGGTTACATTTAGGTTTGAAGTAAGATTATAATAATCTGCTGAACGGTTTAGGAGAGTGAGCAGTGAATGCCTGTGTACTGTACCTCCTGGACGTGCATAGTAGAAGGAACCTCAAGGAGACTTGAGAACCTAAGGATGCCAGAGAGAACACAGGGCCTAGGAATTGAGCTATGGAGAAAAGGACCTTTGTTGTGAAAACATCTGTAGGCTAAGATTACTACAATAAAATATACAGTAACAGCATGTGAACTGTGGGTCCTGTGTTAACCAGTAAGTGTGGAGATATTGTTCTCCTGCTTGGGGCATCTTGCCCTGGAATCTGAACTCTATACCTTAAAAATAGTGTATTACGTTTCAGCCATTAAAATAATAAAGTTTACATACAGTAGGTCAGAATATCAGAGGCAGCCACCATGGTGAGCACTGTTGAGCAGGTCATAGAGGGCCATCTTAAACAAGATGTAGATTCTCTTTCAATTAAAAAAAAAGCACTTAAGCAAAAAAAAAAAGCCTTTATCCATAGTGATGGAACAAGACGGTATGCTGCACTGCTTTCACTTAAAAATCGCTCAGTGTGCCCGCAAAGGGGAAAGCTATTAAAATACCAGGTCTCTGATCCATTTCGCAGCATTGGAGATGTCTCAACACTTCTCCCTTTCTGCCTGAATGCAACACAGAGCCCGTTACGAAGGGCAAACAGATTAATAGATCGAATCCTTAACACTGACCTCGGTGACTCATTTTTTTTTATTCCAACCACTCTATTGCCTATGCCTTCAAAAAAAACAAAACAAATTAAATGTCCTCACTGCTAAAATGTTTTGCAAACCTTTATTTTCCCGCTATGCACCCTGACTTTAATGCGCTAACAAAATGTCAAGGACTCCGTGATACAAACTCTGGGTGAAAACAAAAAAAAAAAGAAAAAGCCACACATTCTTTCAAAGCATGAATAAGAGAGAAAATAGCTGTGAAGTAAGTTTGCCACATCACCTATTACAGAGACAATAGATACATGAAGATTGTGATGTGTGTACCTACAGTGAGAACAGTCCTTCCAGGCCACACAATTTTTGTTACCTACTGAATTATTGGACTCAGGAAAGTGTCAGACGCGTATCTTTATACAATTTTATTATCAAAGAAACTACTTTTTGGTGGGTCACCACAGATTGCTTCCATTTTCACAGCAAATACAGGCAGCTCCAAGAACAGGCACTAACAGCTATTGACTCCAACATTTCAAAGAATACAAAAGTGGATGCTGCATGACAAAAGGGACATAATAAAGGCAATTTTAAAGAAAACCTTATTGTGTATCTGCCGCAAAAAAAAGGCAATTTTACGTTTTAGAAAATGTCCACTGCTGAAAAAGGAATCTGAACAAAAAGCAACAACAAAAAGAAAATCACCACTTGATCAAAAGAAAACACCTCAAGAGTTGTTCTCCTACTAGAAAACCTAACTCCATTTGTGTGGTCGTCATTAAGAAGAATAATAAAAATCTTTAGTTTCTACAGTGCCTTTTAAGACACGGAATCTCAGGACATTTTACCTTCAAAATAAAGCAAAATTATAAACAATAATAAACTCAAATTTTATAAACAGGATTAAAAGCTTATGTAGACAAGCAAGTTTTAAAACATGATATAAAAGTGCTGACTGACATTCAAGATCCAATAGTCTCATGTATTAAGGATAGCTATTGAAAAATGTACTATTGCTGAATTTGTCATTCTCTTTAATATTTTAGTTTTTCATTGACACAACAACGTAAAACATTATTGAATATATAATCTTTACGTGTTACACTGATGTTTATTGCTAAAATAACTGCAGATTTTTAATTTTTGAAAATGTGGTCTGGTTACAAAATAACTAATAGAATCAACCTAGTATGAAAGTTCTATTCTATTCTATTCAAAATTGTGCACTCAAAGACCCAAGTTTCTGGTATTTAACAGACGTGTAACAGATGCAGTCATTAAGACAAATCAATTCTGATATTAAAGAAAGTCTCCCATCTTTTTCCATTGTCTCCACTTGTCTGTGGTGTTGTCTATACTGGTTGGAACTTTTACTTTCTGCAGGACTCTTTCTAATGTATTAATAACCACTATAGAGGGATATAAATTAAGATATATTACATATAGAGATGATAACAGTATATGGTAATAGTACAGGTTCAGGACAGACCCCCTTGTTCCAGGCTCACAGTAATAAAAACTAGGCCAGTCAAACTAGCCTCTAGCCCTTGCTACTTTGTTTGAAGCAAGCTCCAGTTGTGGAGGCCCTTACCTTCTTTTCAAGGTGTGCTAGCTGCTCCTTATAAAAAGTGTCCAGCAGTTTCAACTCTGCTTCTTTCCTCTCCAGCTGCTTTGCCTATAAAAGAGAAAACAGATCAGGCTTCAACGGAAGAGATCAGGCAGCAGTCTTAAAATAAACAAAAAAAAAAAAGCTCAGTGTGAAACCTTTTTCTTTCTGACAGGTTGTGCTTGATTTTCATCTCTCCCGTTTTCAAGCTGGGAGCAGGCCTTAGCAATCATTTAAAGAAAGAACTTATCAGAGAGGGCGCAGCCTTATAGACCTTCTAGAAAATAATTTGCTTGCTGCATTACCAATCGGGACATCTCAGCTTCCTGACACATTGTGATACTGCAGAGGATGAAGTGCTTTAATTCTGATATCTAGGTGAGACTATCAGCTTGAGAAAAAGGTAACTAGTAATAGCCTTCCAGTGTGCAAATGGAAAAACAAGGAGATGAGATTGAGAAATAAGAAGCAACTCTTAGAAGGCAATATAAAAACAAAAAGGTAAGCCAAGATACATCTTTGACTTGAATGTTCAAGCTGCACAAAAACCTTTAAATCAAACAAAAGAAGTTCGGCCAAGCAGATTGTGCTATATTGAAGAAGGGGGAAATAAAATGGGTTTCTCCAACATGCTGGTTAAATTTCTATTTAGTCGACCTAGGATACAACTTGGCATAGAACAACCCAACTGTGGATCCTGCATCTGGAAATATTGGGAAGTTTGGTGTGCCTTTAATGTGCCAGGGCCAACTGTTCCTATCCTGATGCTGAATGAGAATCCTGTACCACACATTTCTTTCGTTCACCACAACCTTTTGTAGGTGTAGCAAGAAAGCCTTTACTTGCTGTTCACACTATCTCAAACGTGCTGCCTCCAGCAAAAAGCATACCGAAAGCCGAAGACTGCCAAAGTGACTCGAAGATCGTACAAAAAAATGGGGTTTCGGACGAAGCAGTAAAAGCACGCAGGCTCAATTCTGTGATGCAGGTGGCATGCATTCATGCCTGGGTCATGTCACTAGCCAACAATGACCAGGTTCCTCCTACTTGGTGGTATACAATCAGCTGATGCTATTTTGAAGTCTTGAAACGATGTCAGTGAAAGATGCACTGTACCTCCAATGGGCATTAACTCTCATCAGGCACAGTAGAGCCCGCAACATGACAAATGGCTGTAAGTCATGCATTTAAACACAGCTTGCGTCACTGGTGTTGCTAAAACTATTCAATCACTGCCATGAGTTATGTTCAAAACCAAAATAACTGTGCTGCCTGTTCAAATCATGTGAACTTCTTTTCCTGAAACACCTTTACCACCTTAGCTGATAAATTTCCAACTACAGTTACAGTGTCCCTTAACTTGGGAATTCTTTAACTTAGGATGGAATGCAGCAGCCCAGCACTATGGGCAACTATACAATCCAATAAATGCCTCCAAATCTAGCTTGTCAACACTGCATTACTCTGCGATACTGTTTGTTGCAAGCACCCAGCCATTAGCCTAGATGCTAGGCAGTAGCAGTGAAAAATTATATTAAATTAGATTGCCTATTGGTGCCTACTGACACACGCAAAAATTTCTCTTAGCTGTCACCTACACCAAATTAGCACACTATAATGAATACACTTAACTGTACAGTATGATATGTGAGTAGCTGGGGACCTTTACTAATTGTTGTTGTGTCTTCTCTGTCAAACAGTTTAGAGGAACCTACTATTTTGTTGTAACATTCTATATTAAAAAGAATTGTAGAAAATAATGATAATCACCAATGACACAAACATAGAATTCCATTGTTTGTTAAATCACTATATAAACCCAGAGCACAAATGGTTTGGCAGGAATGTTTTTGGAGCTTTTGACACTTGTTTTCCTTAATGTGACTGAATACCATGTGCAGAGCTGTAGAGCTCAAAAGCCTTGAATGTCTAGATCTTGAAATGTTAATTTGTCGACCACTTCTATGCATCTTCTTAAAAATCAAATCTTTCGAAGAGCTAGGATTCTCTTTGTCCAATCAGATGATAGTGGAGGGTGGACACAGTCCTCTGGTACTTGGAGTTCACATAACTAACATACAATGAGATGCACACGATGCACAATGTTGTAGCTGGCACAGGCAATAATCGCTCTAAGAAACCATAACGGAAAAGCAAAAAAGCTCAACTCACTGTCTTCAAAAAGCTTCATCCTCTGTCTGCTTGATAGATTAATCGGACACAGCAGACTGAATGAGCAAATCTTCAATTACACACCTTCTCCACCTGCTTCAGGCACGGCAATAAATCAGCCATTCAAAGCTGTTTGTTTGTTTGTTTTTGTTTAAGAAATGCTTCAAGTAGGTAGGACAATGCAATTGTGCAAAGAAGCTAAAATGCTTTATAAAACAAAAAAAATAAAAATAGTAACCTTCCAGGGAAAGCATCACAGGTATTTATGGCAAACATGAACGAGATCAACCCATTTCTGCTGCAATGTAGACAAATAATTTTGTTCTGCATTCTTTGTGGGCCTTACAGATTTCATGGGCAGATGGATCTCACATTAAACTGACCTGTACCAAATCACATACATATAATATCCTATGCATATGTCATGGTCTTTGATGTGCAATGAAAATCACTGCATGATTGTTACTCCTAGTCTTGTTTTCAAAATGTGTCAGTGTTGTAATGTAAACAATTAGGAACTTGTTCAGCATTTGAGTTATAAAAATAATAGAAAAGCATACATCCATCTATCTGCTACCCACTTTTGACAACAGGTCAGAAAAAAGTCCTATTGTTTGTCTGTATTGGTCATTTTGGGTTAATTTAAATTTACAAGATAAAGAGGCAAAACTCTAGGGAGAAAAAGTATAATGAACTGGAAAATTATGGATTATGAACCCAGAACTCTTGCTTTGCGTTCATTGATCATGTTTTCCCAATTCATGCATTTTGCCTTTTACTGCTGAACTGTCTGACTGGATCACTGGAAAGTCCGAAAAAAACACCAGAGAAAGATATCAGAAACAGCCGCAGGATAATTGCCATGAACAGAGCTGATCTCATATTCTGTTTGAAGTAAATGATCTGCTGGTGTTGGAATGTGTGACGATCCCTAAACATGAGAAGAAACAAGAAAGAGCTCTGTGCAGAAGAGAAAAGCTGGTACTATGGAAGAGAGGCAAGCAGCAAGCAATTCATGGTTCTGTTTATAATTAAACAGAGTTTACACATACAAGTAGTTCGACACATACTGTACATACTGTAGTGAGAAATACAAAAACACTGTCTACTCATATACTGTATCGCAGCAGTACTTCAAAGACCAAACCCAGATTTTCAGAGGATGCAACAACAAACATCTATTGCTTGTATTTACAAATACAAGTTATGGCTTTGTTTCCTGTGAATAAATTTACAATTTACAATACCACTTCCATATTGCCTTGTACAAATTATTTTCAAGGGTTCATGTGACTCATACATAGATATGCATACCTTCTGAAAAAATAATGATATTTTTGTACATTTTCCATTAGCAAGATCACTAGACATCGGACTTATTATTAGGGTAGGATACTTATCTATAGTAGATAATCTCAATTATAATCTACACTTTGTGGCAGTGGTATGCCTTCACAACTCGTAAATAATACTGATCACTTTGTTAATGTGCTAAAAAACCTCCTTGGAAACAATGCAAAGCACATTCGACCTATCCATTGTGTGTGGCTTCCAAAATCACAGAAGGGGTCCTCCCTTATACGCTACCCCTGAAGCAGCCTATTACAACATTCCCAACTGGTAGTAAGAGTTTAGTTTATGCCACTCAATTCATACTGCCTTGATGGTTAAACAGTTGAGTAAATATACGTATTGGTACATATTGGGCAATTCGATTCGGCAAAGATTGGACAACGTTATTCACAGAACAGTATTTTTCTTCATAGATCAGTCAAACATAGTGAAGAAGGATTAATGTCAGGTGCTGCTCTGATCTTCCTTCCATTGCAGGAGCATAGGCAATGCAAATTGGGGCACCATGTTCCACATATTGCTAGTATCGTATTACTGCCCACTTCTAACAAATGCACACTGGCACAGACAGGCAGCAGTACCTTTTGGAATATCTTGCTCTATAGTAAAGGCAAGAAATTGTAGGTCTTTTCCCTGAACAACAGGTGAGACTTTGCAGGTGCTCATGGTATCTTACATGCTGGAGTCATGGCACCTCAATCGTGCAATGACCCAGCCAACCACTAGAAAAGGAGTCCAACTGAACATGCTATCCTTGAAAAGTCCCTACTGTATAGAAACAGTGCCTGCGATTGCTATTCCTTAGTGGTTCCCAATGGGCTTCAGCAAGTTCAAAGTTTCGCAACTAGAACCCTAATCAGATTTAAGACCTGTGAGCAGATCATTCCTGTTTTCACAGCTTTGCAGTGGCTGGCAGTAAAATTTAAAATTGATTTTAAAATCATTTTATTAACATTTTTTGTATTCACTATCGTATTAAGTACGATACTTAACACTACTTAATACTTGGATGAAAGGTCCTTTTTGCAAGTTAACTGTGTATCTAAACTGTTGAATGTCCTAACTTGTGCCTTTACATGGGACCATCACTTGTTCTATACATGGGGTGTTTGTCCATTACTAAAATATATAAGCCAGTATGAAGTCATTTTAAGCCTCAAACCATTCGAAAGCAGGTAGTGTACATTTGATAACTCAAAAATCTAATGATTTAATGAATTTACATTTAGCACTGATTTAGTCATAAGCACAAAGGCAAAGCAAAACAAGAAAAAAATGAACTAAAGACTTTTTAAAGTCAATGCAAAAGGAAGCAAACGGACGCAAAAAATTTAATCAATATTAATAATGGAACAAAAGAGACATGAACACACATCCATGAGACACTGAAGAGAATAAGATGATATACTGTATCCCACCTGAAAGGGAGCTTGGAGCTGTTCTAGACCAAACAAACACAGTTTTGCTTTTATTGAATTTAAAAGATTATAAATCTTCATGATGTTGATCAATCATTCAGAACTAATTGTTCTAGTAAAGCTTTA